GTGTGGCAGATGGTCAGAGGGAGAAATACATAAGATGAGATAAAAGCCTTGCCCAGAGCTGAGATATAAAGCATGTTCCCATCTTGATGCAGAAGGGTTCATTTCCCAAAGCTCCTACGCAGTTTTCATGTAAAGATGTTATAATTTTTTAAAGTCCTCTAAAGTTGAATTCTTTAAGTCTGATATTTTGTTGTTTTTTGTGATATTAGAGATAAAATGATCAATAGATATAAAGGTGGAGATAACTGGGTAACACGGACAGCAGATTATTGTATGGATAGATGGAAAAGGGACAAGCTAATGGGTTGGGCGGCCAAGAAAAGAAAAATAGGCAAATAAAAAAGGATTTTTTTGTATTACATAACAGTTTTGGCTCGCAGGAGCTTCCATAGATGGAGTATTACTCCCACGGTGCCGTTCCGCAAGCGACCTCCTGGCTACCGGTGAATAGGAAGTTAGTCCTGAAAAAGGAATAAAATCATCCTTTGTTTGGAACTGGTTTGGGTTTGCTGTGACAAACATGGAGAAAGAAACCCCACACTGCAACATTAGCCTAAAGGCTGGTAGCTATGAAAAATGCCAATCTCTCCGGCATGAACAACCCAGAACAAACCTCAGCTAAGAAACAGCCAACTGTAGCTGAAACCTTTGCGCAAAGCACCACATATAAGAGGAAAGGAACACAGTGGAAAACAATCACAGAAGCGGTCGCTTTGCACATAGCTGAAGACATGGCGCCCATATATACCATGGAGAAGACCGGGTTTATAAATATGATTAAAACCTTGGACCAAACATTTGGACCGGAAATGTTTGTGGAATGTAGGGTAATTAAGATAGTTATCATTAGGTATAAGGATGGGACTTTTCTGATGGTTAAAAAAGGTTTTTATGAGGTGATTTTCTCATCATGGAATGTTTTTTTTAATTAAAATGCTGGATAAATTTTTATCCGTATACCCTTACGGACAAATTGAATATAAACAATTTAAGATTGGACTGCCTCAGGAACGCTTCACAGGTAAGAAGTCGAAGATTTTTTTGAAATGTTCTGATTTAATACGCCGCTATATCTTTATTAATAGTTCCTTTGTGCTCATGTTGTCCATAAAATCAACATGATGGTCGGTAGAGAATCTAAGCTTTTTATTTAATGTAAATATTCACAACAGAGCGCCAGTGGATGTTAATAAGTAGGTGGGGGAAAATCGGGGGAAAAAAAAGAAATAAAACAATCTGAGATTTTATATTTAGACCATATTGCCCAGCTCTAATAAATATAATTTCTTCAATTGGATAGGGAATAAAGAAAACTTTTGAATATAAACTGTAGACTTGGAGCACCAAAACAAGGGGAAAGTACAAATTTTTTTAAACTTTCTGCTCCATTTGCAATTGCATGTTAAGCTAGGGTCACATGAAAAAAAAAATAAAAAAAATATTCTGCAGCAGTATTAACAGCATGAGCAAGATAAATACATTAGCCTTCATCCAAGTCGCTAATGTAAACCTCTGGGCAAAGGGTATAGATGGCTGCTCAAACACAAATGTCAGTGAAAGGGATATCTGTTTTTTTTTGTTTGGTTTATAATAGTGCCTTTAGAGCTCACTAGTAATGCCTTCACATGGCTGCGTCGGCGCACAGACACAGCAAGGTTGCTACAGAGGGAGCAACTCCCACATGGTCACGATTATCGCCTCGATGGAATATGATATTTCTTTTCTGGAGACTGGCAGTGAGAGACGGGACAACAGAGCATAGGCCATTACCTTCCAGTCGTGTCCTTGCTCTGCAGCAATATCACTGTGCTGTTATATAAACGATCAATATATCCTCACCGATCGGCCCATCTGGCCCCTCATAAAACTGGTGATCGACTTCAATCAAAAAGGAATCCAATTTGAACTCGTGTGAGGTGACTCAGAAGGTGAAGCTAAACAATGTGATGAGTATTTAATTTCCTTTTGACCTTAGTGATCAGAGACAGCTTTGTGTTTCTGATACAAGAGTAAACATATCAAACAACACTTTAAAAATCATAGTTTTCTGGTCTTTGTTTTAGCCAAACTAGATTTAAACTTGGTTAATATAGTTTATAATAAACTTAATATAGTTTATGATTAAACCTGGATAAACCTGAGAAGCTGGATTAGCTTTTATATGCCTTTCCGCATATCTTGGCTATTTTTGTTTGCAACAGATGAGTCTATTTAAGCACTATGTAAATTAGAACAGAAAAAGAAAGCTTGGTCCATCAGAGTGCCTCATGTTGGCAAACTTCTGCCTTAAGTTACAGGTTCACTATTGTGAGGATATCCCAACTAAACAAAAAATGTGATATTAGTTTTAGGCTATAATTTGCCACATTAATTAAAAAGCTCTTTCAAAGCCATTTGATCATTTGGATTATGTTAGATTAAGTATTGTAAATGAGTAGGATCCTTCACACAGACAGACAATAAGCACACAGAACCTTGAATGTGAGCAGGTTTATACACAGAAGTCCTTCAACAATGTACTCTAGACAAGACAGAATTATTTTCATGAAAATAAGGCAGCAAAAACAAACTGCATGGCTAAATTGCACAGTAGATTACAAGAAAAGATCACACAACTTTTAGAGGAAGCGTAAGTCCTATCTCATCGATCTTTTTTTCTAAATATAAAACCCATGTTTTTATAAAACTCAGTGTTTACAGTTTAATTGTTTGGCTTGAGCAGAAGGTTGATTGAAATCGTGTTTGTATGCTTTCCCTGAAAGGCTTCCTCCAGATTAAGTAGCAGGTGGAGTCCAATCACAAAGATAACTGTGTGGGTCGTGCACTTTGAAATGCTACACCGGATATGATTATTGGAAAGGGTAGGTGATATGAGAAAACAAAAAAGCAACTTTAATGTGTTTCATAGGTCTGCATTTAGAGTAAATAGGAAACCCTTTAGGGTGGTAAAGTTAGCATATGGGTGCAGACACATAGGAAATATTCCAAATTTTAGGACATTACCAGAATAACTTGAATAAAATTTGATGAACGGGCATATAATTGCTAAATAAATGGAAAGTGATGCATAATTCTCACAATTTAAGTTCTTAGGCTTCCAGGACATGAAAAATACTACTTTTTGTTGTTGTTTTTAAAACAACAAAGAGCAAAACAATCAAAACTACAAGAAATTAAGTTAGGTTTTGCTGCTTAAACCTTTTTGGACAAAAACAAAAAACTAACTTTATTTTAGCCACACCAACAAACACATTAGACCCTTTTTAGGGAGGTGTATTATATTAAACTTACACAATAAACGAGTAGACTACAATTATATGCCACTTTGTTCATATTAAAGGTTGCTAATTCTTTGTTATATAAGAATTTTTTTTTATTTATAACTGTGTTTGATGTGGATTTCTAACAGGTGTCTGAGGAAAATCTCATTATGGTTTCATTCTTATACGACTCTTGATTCATAGGTCTGTATTCAGAGTATAGAGGAAACCCTTTAGGGTGGTAAAGTTTGCATATAGGTGCAGACACCTTGGAAATATTCCAGATTTTAAGTCATTACCAAAAAACTTGATTAAAATTTGATGAGCCACATATAATTGCTAAATAAATGAAAAGTGATGCATTTAAGTGATTGCAATTAAGAAAGTTCTCAGTCATCCAGGACATGAAAAATACTACTTTTTGTTGTTTTTCTTTTTTCAACCAGCGAAGAGCAAGACAACAAAGAGCAAAACAACTGAAACTACAAGGAATATAGTTATGTTTTGCTGCTTAAACCTTTTTGGATAAAATCAAAAACTTTACTTTAGCCACAACAACAAACACATTGGGCCCTTTTCAGGGAGCTGTATTATATTAAAATTAAACAATAAACAAGCAGACTACAATTATATGCCACTTTGTTTAGATTAAAGGTTGCTCATTCTTTGTTATATAAGTATTATTTATTTGTATCTGTGTGTGATGTGGATTTTTAACAGGTGTCTGAGGAAAATCTCATTATGGTTTCATTCTTATACGACTCTTGATTCATAGGTCTGTATTCAGAGTATAGAGGGAAACCCTTTAGGGTGGTAAAGTTTTCACATGGGTGCAGAAACCTTGGAAATATTGCAGATTTGAATTCATTACCAAAAAACTTGATCAAAATTTGATGAACGGGCATATAATTGCTAAATAAATGAAAAGCGGTGCATTATTCTCACATTTAAGAAAGTTCTCAGGCATCCAGGACATGAAAAACACTACTTTTTGTTGTTGTTTTTTTAAACGGCGAAGAGCAAAACAACTTAAACTAAAAGGAATAAAGTTATGTTTTGCTGCTTAAATCTTTTTGGATAAAAAACAACTTTATTTTAGCCACACCAACAAACACATTAGGCCCTTTTCAGGGAGCTTTATTATATTAAAATTAAAGACTAATATCATATGCTACTTTGTTTATATTAAAGGTTGCTCATTCTTTGTTATATAAGCATTTTTTTATTTATATATGTGTGTGATGTGGATTCTTAACAGGTGTCTGAGGAAAATCTCATCATGGTTTCATTCTTATACGACTGTTGATTGTAAGATTGACTGCACACATTAGATATTTATGCCGACTTATCTATAAATTTCAAATAAATTAAATAAAGCCTGTTGCTTTTAAGTGATAAAAACGAAAATCATACTTTCTCAAGGTTATTGTCATTCCTGGAGCCGTTAAGTCGTCCCTGGAGGGCTAGCTAAAAATGTTAGCTAGCTCGATTTACCTGTTAAATAGGAAGGTAGCATTTTTATTTTTAGCTGCGAAGCTAATCTACTTTTATTTATTCGACAACATAAAATGGAATATAAATTAATATGTCTATATATAACAGCTCGTAAATATGAAAGCCGTGAAGAAGAGGCGACGGGCCAAAAAAGGCGGATATGAATATAAAAATAAGCTTTTTTTAAATTTATTTTTTAATTCTGTGGTGTCGCAGAGAGGTAAAATAAAAAAGAAAGGTTCTTACCCAGCACGTAAATCGTAGCAAAGTTTCATGAACACTGAGGTTCCCTCCGGTGCTGCTTTTATCCTTCCGTACACCTGCTGCTTCTCAAATTAGCGTCTATCTGTCTGCCCGCCTTCCTCACTACGACGTCTGCTTTCCAGGTCCCTCCATCCCTGCAATGTCCGCCGCCGCTCTCCGCTCAGCACCGTCAAAACGACTGTATCCTCCCCGGGGTTTGTCGTTAGACAGCGGGTAGCCTCGTCATTATAACAGGAGAAAACGCAAATGATGTTTAGAAAAGGAGAAAAAAAAATACCAGTTGCGTCGTTCTCGGACAGCGCCGTTATAACCCGCTATAAAGAGACAAGCCGTGCCCTGTTTCTTCTTCTTCTGGTTGATATCACCGAAACAAGTGGGGAGATTTTCTTAAAGGGGCCGCAGCCGATTTACTGGCGCTCCCATGACGACAGGATGTGTGTGCTTTTTTGGGGGGTGCTCTCTACCGCCTCCCCGTGGCCGCTTTTGTTATGTGTTAAGTTATAGCAGGTGGATTATGGAGGACCAACTCTGCCATATCTAAAAATAAATACAGAAATAAATGAAATCTCAGTAAATAAATAAGCATTCAATTAGTTGCCTCAAAAAATAATATATAAACAAATAAATGCTCAGACCCAGCCCTCCTAATTTGCATAATGAGGCAGAAATGCATACAAAAATGTAAAAACGACAGAAGAAACAAATAGCTTTGAAGAAATAAAAAGGGTAAAAAAAATACAAAGGCAGAATAAAACAGAAAAAATATTATATCATGCACTTACATAAATACTTAAAAATATAAGAAATAAATAAATAAAGTTGAAGATTATAACACACAATAAATATATAACGTAATTATTACAAAGGCAAATAAATAAAGAAGCATATTAAAAGAGATATACACATTTATATCTCACTGTATAATTTAATTTCTACCTACATTTATTTGTTTATTGTATTTTTGGGGGCAATTAATTTAATTCTTATTTATTTATTGAGCATTTTATTATTTTTGTATTTATTTTTAGATATGACAGAGTTGGTCCTCCACAGTGGATAAGATGGCAGAGAAAAAAAAGTGATCAAACATATACAAATAAAAATTTAAATATTAATCTATTAATTATTACAGAGCCTCCAAGCGGAGAAGGTGGGGAAGAATATTAGCTAGGAAAAATGCTGTAAAAGTATTAGGGGGAGAATAAAAAATCCTAGATTAAAAAAATTGAAAAAAGAAAGGAACCCAGGGGGCATAATTAGGGGGAAATATTAGGGGCGAGATAAATATAAAAAAACACAGGAAAAACTAGTCACACAGAGGGGGTAAAATATATAGGGGGTCAGTGAGATAGAAAGAATAAAATAAAGTTAACATCTATCAGGACATTGTGGTGTAATAATATGGACAGGGCGTAAAATCATCCATAAAATATTTAATATTTTTTAAATAAATATCTTTTTCAAATATTAGTGTTTTCCTTTGTAAGTTTTGCGTTATTCTCAAAAACTAAACCTAAGTGTTGACTTTATATTTTTTTATCTATATACTTTTTTCTTTTTCCACCCCTAATGTATGTCTCCCACCATTGCATAGCTCCCTTATAAATTATATGTGGATTTCCCTTCAAATTGGTCTATGCATCTTTTGGTAATAGAGTATTATCATCAGAAACCAGTGATCATCATTTCACATTACAACTGTTTTGTCACAGTGAGTTCATTTAGTTACAAGGATCATCATACTTACTTAAACCAGTGTCTCTAATTATTGATTTGCAATAATTAGAAAGGCCAAAACCCACAGATTGAGATTTTCCAAACCTTTATTTTGTTTCTCAATTGTCAAAACATTGCATTTTAATTTGTTTTGGACATGAGGACTACAGGAAAGTATTTCCAGCATCCACATTTCTTGATGCAACAGGATGTTCTGTAATGCCTCTACGCTGAGATCTTGGCTGTGTGTTTTGGGTCATTGCAGCAATCCGAGGTTAAGAATGCGCTGGGGCAATTTTTTTTTAATCCAGGATTTCTGTGTTTATTGCTGCATTCATCTTCCTCTCTATCCTGACTGGTTTGCCAGTCCCTGCTGCTGAAAAACATCCCCCATAGGATGATGCTGCCACCACCATGCTTTGCTGCAGGAATGGTATCACCCTGCACCTTGGTTCAAAATGTCCTCTGAACGATGAGGCCTCTGTGCTAACTGGGACCGGATTTGTGCCTTGAGACAATCCCGTCTTGAAGGTCTACATCGTTTCACTTTATGGATGGTGTCTTTCCCAGTCATGTCCATTCTGATTTTACCTAAGTTGAAATGTATTTATGCTGTTAAAACATGTAAACAGTATGCGCCTAAGGTCAATTTTAAGCTTAATAAAAAAGGCTGTGAATACTTTTGTAAATGTAATTTCTTAGCTTCATATTTGTGATTACATTTGCGAAAATCTAAAAAGAAAATGCATAGGACTAACAAACAGCATGTCATTTGCACACTTATACAGATAGAAAATCAATTTATAGTTCATAACTCAAAAAAATGAGAACAAAACAGGAGTAATAACACTTACCTGCGGTTACCAGTAAGTATCAGAGGCAATGTACCCTCATTGCACTCTCTGTGCTCGATCTGTTAAGAACTCGCTTTTACCAAATGAATAATGTCGCTATTATATCACAGAGCCTTTGACAAAGCTGAACTACAATCAATTAATAATAACCTGGCATTAATCCCAGGCTGCTACAGATGTTAGCAGACTCCATTTATCAAGGTCAGTGCAGCATCTGCACTACCTCTGTTATGCAAATAGATTTGGGCCAAAAAAATACTCCTACACAAAAATAAAATGTGTTAGATTTCCAGTGTTGGTATTATACCCATGTTATATGTGGAACTGGACAGCCACTGAAAGTCAGACTAGCTCTGTGAGCCAGGTGAAGCAAGTGGACCTCACCTCTCTATTAAAATGGGTGTGCTAACAACAACAATAGACTTCTAAGTTGTGCTTCTGTTTTAGAATCTATTCAATATACTCTGTAGTTAATGCTACTTTTTTTTTTTTTTTGCCGTGGGGCGACAGTGCTGTAGGGAGAAGAAAATTAACAACTGAAGGGTCACCAGTTTTATCAACTGGGCAAGATGCTTCTCTCACCCTGCCTGCTGATGGTAGAATAGAATAGAAATCAGCTTTATTGTTAGTATAGAGCAATGAAATAAAATCTCTGGACTAAGGACCAGTCAGCTGCTATTGTGCAGCAGCTTAGGGTTGAGGGTCTTGCTCAGGGACCCAGAGTGGCAGCCTGGAGGAGTGAGTGGGACTTGAGCTCAGGACCTCCTGGACCCAAGCGCAGTGCTCTAACCACTAGGACACCACTTCCTGGTGTTACCTACGTATTAGATCAAAGTCCCTGTTTCTGCCCCAGTGCAACTATGGCTACAAAGTAACTTGCCACCACCTGAGTGTGAACAATTAACCCCAGTGGTAACTTTTTGCACTATGCACTAGTGTTAGACAAATTCAACCCTAATATGTGATAAAAATAAAAATTAGGAGTGTTGTTTCAACTCTGTCACAGTGTTTACTATTAAACACTTTTAGAAGTGTTATTTTAACTGTGGAACAATAAAGACACTTTAAACGTTTTAATCTTCCAAAATTGCCATATATTATGTGATACAAAAACACATCTACATAATCCTCCCGTGCTGTAAAAAGAATCAAGAGCACATGGAAACTGACCATAAGAAAATGCCTTTTTCAAGACTGTATGACATCCAAACTAGTTATGCTACAAAAAACCTATAACTAAATTGCCACTAATGAATTATATTGCCTTCATGTAGTGGCTGTAGAGGGCCTGTTATGTTGCTCCAGATTTTCACTTTAATTTACCGCATTTTTAACAAATACCAACATCTACACCCAAAAAAAATATTCAACCCCCTCTTTAAGGTGACCCAATTTCTTACCATTCATAATACCTAAAGTAAATGGTTTAATTTATTTAGGAATATTTAACTGATATTACACAATATGTTTGAATATTTAATGTATGATGCAAAGTAACGTAAAATTCTTGAGTTCACTAAAGGGCAGCCTTGTGAGTCGTTTAAGTGAACTCAAGAATTTGAGGTTACTTTGCAATGCTCATGATTACTTCCTTTAATTGTCGGACCACTTTTCCCAGAGAACGAGTCAGTATGGCAGGTAATTCTACATCTAAAAGAGTTAGATGTAGAATTACCTGCCAATAGGTAACACCAGGGAGTGGTGGCCTAGTGGTTACAGCATTGCGCTTGGGTCCTGGAGGTTCTGAGCTAGTTAATGGCCAATTCCACACAGATTAAACCATAAGTTATCTTGAGGCCAAGATCCATTATCACAGGCAGCTAAATAATTTTGACGATGTGACATGCATGCATGTTTGTTAAAAAAAAAAACTGTTTTTGCTCTTAAAGTAAATACAATTGAGTTGATAAAACCAATTAATCTGTCATTGGGTTACCTAAATGCTATGAGGTAGTTGAACATAACTTAATTCATTGCAGGCACAAATATATGTCAACAGAATTTGATTTTATTAAGTTGAACCAATCAAACTGTCACGGTTTAGGTTGGTTGGTTGAGGACCCATAAGCAGAGACCAGGAGGCTGACGTGAATCTTGTAAATTTAACTGAGACAAAATCCAAAAATACAAAGAAACAAATAATCATGTGCTGGGCCAGAGATGAGGAAGCAACTAAAAGCAACTACACTAAAACAAGGAACCAGCACTGAGTAACTGCAGAGGTGGAGTATATAAGGGGAACAGAACAAAGGATGGGCTAATGAGCTGATTATGGAGCAGGTGATAGTGGAACTAACTAGAAGGAAGACAAGGGGAAAGGAAACAAGCACAAGGAGGCAACAGAGTAACTAAATACTGCTTGAATATAATGGAAAATAAACCAAAGATCAACAAAACAGAGTAATTAATAACTGAAAACTCCCCAA